TTCTATTTTATCTTAGAAAGTATTTTTGTTTATACAAACATTTTCTCTTCAACTATAAATTAAGTCATAATCGATCTATTTGATAAACGTAAGAATAATTTAAATTAATTGAACAGAAAAAAAAAAGACAATAGAAGTCAAGAAAGATTTGAGACAGTAATAGTCTACATGATAAAAATGTCCTTTCTATGCAAAAGAGGTCGAAACGTTTGAATTGAAAATAGATTGATGACACTGACCATAACTAATACAAGTGTCATAAAGTTAAGTAAAAAAAAATCTTTGATGCATAATATGTATTGTTGTCAAATGTAAAATATCCTCTTTTTTGTCATTGTTATACTTTTATAGTTTTTTCTTTTCGGAAGATCACAGAGATTCTTCCATTTTAAAATTCAGACCCTATTGAGTTCTTTATAAGTATATAGATAAATGATAGAAATAAAACAATTTTATACAAAGGAAATGAAGGTGTGCAAATATGCAATATATATCTGATTGATGGAGATATTGCTTGACGAAAAAAACGTAGGAAGTTAAAAAGGTTCAAACAGAATACATATTGTTATTTTCCTATATCATTGTAATTAATCTATGCATCAATACGTAGTTCTTTTTGTACTTAAATATTCTATAAACATTTATAACATGTGTTTTATTTTTATTACTTCATAGAAAACATATCTATTTTATTACATTATTTTTTTTATTTCTCTTTTTAAATATTACGCTACCACTTCTGCTTATTCATTATGATTAAACATTATGATAAAATTTTGTTCCCTATCTTTCACTCTTAGGAATCATTGATGGATGACAACATATGATTCGTTAGTAGTTGATATCGTAAAGACTACGTTTTTTTTTCATTCTTTGTGCGGTTAAATACACGTCGTATCAATATATGTATGTAGACAGTGACAATGCAGAGAACTCCTAAACCAGAATCTATTCATCCAACTCATCAATCTCGTGATGTTATTGAGCGATCATCAACAAATCAACGAAGATATCTAGAACCTCCATTTGAGTATAAAAATATAAATAATAG